ACGAATACTGCTGCTGATTGATTTGGTATTCTGTCAGTTGTAAACCTGCTTTTTTAAGAGACGTCATCTCGGTTATTCACGTACGCTATCCACCCTTTTTTCTGCTTTTCAGGGGAACCAATAAATTAAACTATGCAGTGAACAAAATATACGATGATCGGTAAATATCTAATTTAAAAACACTGAGAATTGTGGCATTTTAGTAGAAATGTTTATTGTGGTCCTTTCTTGCTATACACTCGATTGCATAACCGTTGACACTTAAAAGACAATCAATGATGAGACCCAAAAGCTTTATGGGTACATAAAAACATGAACGACATTGTTTTGCACGTGGTATATGATGGAAGCCACACTCACTTTCCTGACAGAAAACAATTATCATGCACAGAGGTTTGCCATGAATCATGGAAGTTATGTAACATTTCTCATAAAGTTTTTGGGTATCAACGTTCACGGAACATGTTGTTTAGGAGTCAACGTTTTTGCGATCGCGTATAAACAATGCACAATACGTACACCAACCACAAAAACGTGCAACGCGTCAGTTTTCTTAACAATCTGTGGTTCAATTGTTGACTAATGGTAGATTTTCCACAGAGTTTGCATAACGTAACGAGCGACCTATCAGTATTTCTTTTAGTGTTGATCTTCATCACGCTTTAACGTATTAATAATGGTAAATTATTCACTCGCCAGAAGGTTGACAGACATAATAAATCAACTAATTTACTCTCAATATAAGAAAAGTCTTAAATGTGGTCAGATGTTTATTGTAAAATCAAAGAAACAGTGGACCATGCTTAATAGTCTTTATGTGGACCTCAGTAAATCATCCGGTTACCAATTCCTCAGCGAAGAAAACTTTAGTTGATGAGAATAGGTAATTTTACTCGTAATAATAGTGCGCATTTCGATCGAGAGTCGTAAAACAAAAACCGAACTAAGTAATACAATAGCCAATCAGAACAAAGGAAAATATCACAGGCAACCCAGGACAACTCAAAGCAAACAGGCGCACTACCCGAGACGTGAAAATTTGGTGAGTCAGGAAAGCGGCGCAACCGAAACAAACCCGGGTTACTACCAACACTCACCTGTAAATTTCTCAGTCTATTACACGGAAGACTTAGAAGTCCCAGAACTGCATTTGTGGAGATATATCAAAGCTATAGTTATGAACAGTGTTATATTTTTCTATCTGATAGGGATGCGGTGGTACCTGACTGAAACTAAAAAACTTAAGCAGCAAGGATATATTTTAGCCTATTAGTGTTTTAAGAAATGTTTAACAACAACAAAAACAAATCCTCTGAGGATTTTAATCATTTTTCAAATAATAGTCCAAGTAAAAAACGCCACGCGAAAGTAACAGGTATTATTTTTCTTAATAGTTAGAGGAGAATTAATTAAGCCAGTTTTTGAATGTGCAAGTATTTTCTCTGAAAAGATGGTCAATTTAAGTTTGTTGCTGTCTGAACGATGTGAGTTTAAAGCAGTGGATGATTACTGGCTCATAGAGCATTTATCGATTGAGCGTCGTGAGCCGAAAACCAAAGTTATCAACAACCAATCAGAAGATTAGAAAATACCTTTAAAAACTAAAGAGAACTCAAGCATGTCTATGTTACTTGAATCAAAACTCCTCTCCACTACAAAGGTGATACCCAAGGTTGCTCTTTCCACCAGTAAGAGATTGTTAAAGGAAGGTTTTACAAACAAACGAAATGAATCATTTTTGATATGCAAATAAGTGATTGTAGAATAAAAATCCTGAATAAATAAACACTTTTTCACGGTTCAAACCGGTGCCTCTGAGACATTTATTGAGTGTTACTACCAACATGGACACGAAGCCACATGTTAACAGCGAGGCAAGTGTAAGTGTACAATCCAATTTCCACATGCAATAGCTAAAGACACCGATTTTCATAGCACTTGGCACTATTCAAAACATGTGGGGTCAACTAAAGCAATCAATTTCGTTCAGAACCCCCTACATTCATAGAAACAAGTTTCATAAACTTTCTTAAACAGAAAAACAACCTTACTCCTGCAAGTCCTATGGTAATTTTTGTCAACTTGAAGAAATGTAGCAAACGTGATAATCTATGGTAAGTATCACCTAGGTTCAAAGGTCACGTTTTACTTCATTGTCGTCCATATTGTTAACATTTGGTTTCATTCTTGTGGAAATGTGATATAGTTTGGAAACTCTTTGGTATCGTTTTACAGAGTGGATTGAGTTTTGTAACGTTTCTCCCGATACAGTTTGGGCTCTTTGAAAACTTTTCGAAGCTTCCGGCGAAAAAATCGAGTCTCCGAAATCCTACGATATTAATTAGCTAAAACAAAAACACAGCATAGTGACCTTGGTGCTGGCATACGATCTTGATTTGTCCAGTTTAATCCCCACTTATGATATCAAACTCTCCCCACCAATTGCCGTGCATTACTTGTAATTCCAACTCAGAGAATGTGGTATCAAATCTTTCTACTTGACAATTTTTTGCTTACTTTAAGGAGAAATTCCCACTTGGCCACTCCTGGTAGTGGCAGGGCGTTAAGCCCATAGTCCAGAGTTAGTTCCCGATCATATTTTGTTCACAAGTTAGTACTTCCAAGACACTAGGCAATACAAACATCAATTCTAAAAATCAGTCATAAACCCCTTCAGGTGGCTAGTAGATGGAAAGGTGACTTTTTACACCAGTATTTTTTCTGCTGGATTTTTCTCTTTTCAACAGAAATAATAGAAGGACAAGGATTTACATAAGTGGGGGTTATTACCTTGTATATGCACCAACTGACGCAAAATAGCCAGTACTGTCATGCAGAGATTAATGGGTGAATTACAATAAAGAAATAAAAAACGCGCCGAGTGTATTGTTAAGTTATATAAGCACGTGGGAATTTTAAAGAACACGAGAGAAGTGCGGAGAAGCAGGAGCCCCCATCTGAAAAACAGTTGTTATAGGATATTCTTGCCTTCCAATAATGCCTCCCTTCTTCAATGACCCTTGTCTACTCTGCCCAAGGAGGACTTAATATACAACAAAACAATCTCAAGGATGCCAGTGTGAAAAAAGTGCAGAATCTCTAGGAGAAAATTACGTCGTGAAATTCCACCTATACATGAAATTCAATCTCAATACCAGTGAAGTCTGTTGTATCTATGTGAAAAAATTTATACTGTGTTGAGTGGCTGCAGTATATGATGATGTTCTGTTTCTGGTTTAATAGTATGTCTCTTAGGGCCTTTGTGTTCCGTCTGCCTGTACTAAGGAGGATATTGCCTTGGGTGTTGGCATCATTACCAAAGGTTAGTTCTATATCCTTACCTTGGGTCTTCATACACTTGTGGAATGTGTTGGGAACATTTTTAAATCACGATCTAAAGGCTATAATAAACAGACAACTTTACTTTTGAATGTTTCTCTCATGGCTGAAAACTGCAGAAAAATCCCTCACTTCCAATTCCAGAGAGTAAAATCACCCTTCATGGGTAAACCCGCTGTTGAGTAGTAATATGTGACCATATTGATACAAGAATTTCTGTGTCATACAAATGGGATGGGAAGGCAAGTAGTGCAAAAACCACAGGTCGGGGGGGGTTTCCGATCAATACCCCCAGACTCTCCCTCTGGATATGCCACCAAGTATTATCAGTCGCAGATGACAGCATTTTTCTGTGATATACCCTTGATTCAGTCATTTTCTATTATTTGAAATAATCAATTAGTTAGTATTGGGTCTTCTAGTCTCTTTGAGTTCCTTCTTGTTGCCGTTATGTCCCCTTCAATAGATGAGGTGGAGATAACAGTGTGTTATCACGGATTATGGTTGAGTCTGTTACGGTTTCCTATCATTTATTTGCTGTAAGTGTCAATTGATTCTTGTTTCATCAAATTGTAAGTAAGTTCAATAACTTATCACTTATGAATTTAAAAAAAAGAATGAATTTTAATTTCTAAAATGATTAGACTTTTTTGGTGTAGAGGCTCAGATGAAGAGATATGGAATGAGATAATGAAGGAGGCCAGTGAGGAACTAACAAGAAAGAAATCATTCAGGAAAGCACAGAACCGCAAATCCACAGAGAAAGATGCTAACAGCAATGGTATCAGTTCTAGGGCTACAGACACCACTGCAAAGGAAGCCAAAAAAAAAATGAAGCACAAGCTGCTAGCCTCTATCAGTGCGATGAACCTGAGATGGATCCCAATGGTAGAAGTAACGTTAGACCGGCTGGAAAAGCTAACAGGGGGAAGGCTCTACTATTCCGTGCCCTAACTTTCTCTCCTCCCCCTAAGCCATGCTCACTTGGAAGGCAGGGGCCACCACAACGCAGCCAAGAAACAACATTTGCCCACTGTGAAAAGCACCTTGAAATAGGCTCCTTGTTTGCATTGTCAACTGAAACTGCGTGCAAGAAAACTTTTGTTCAAGATTTTGAAGTTCCTTCAAATGAGGCGTAGAGCTGCACCAAGAAGGAAAGCCTTGCAGACTCAGAGAATCCTGAAATTATAGGCTGGATCTACTGTTCCTGTGAAGCCAATCCTCAAATACGAAAATTCCAGTAAGTTATATTGTTCAAGTTCAATTGCCAATCAGCTCGTTACCCTAGAGGGCAGGGTCTAATACTTTCTGTTTTCGTTTAAGCCGTCTTTATTATGTCATTTTGTTTAATTAGGCAATATTATCTTATTGAACAAAAATAAGAGACCACAGCAAAAATAGGAGAACACAATTGTAGTTCAATGAGAAAAATGTACAGATATGTTAATTTGGAGCTCCAGATTACTTTGTGTGTCAGTAAGAATTTTTACCTGATTACAATTCTTTTAGCTATCATCATATTTAATTCATAAATTATACAACTAATAATGTTAACCCCTTAAATTAAATTTCTTTGCATATATTGCAGTTATAGACATTCCAATTCTTTAACATCATGTATTCATTTGCTCATAGATTCAGCCATTTATATTGAAGAAGAACTCAAACTAGTTCAAGCTGAATTATCATCCTTGGAGGAAGTCTGTTCCAAAATAGAGCGTGAGTTGCAGCTAGTGGAGTCGTTAGAAGGTTTGTAATCTCTTGATTACAGCTGACCCATTGCACAACTATAGTGCAATAAATAGAGAATAATACATGGGCACACGTTGATACGGAATTTCTCTTCGAGTGTTAAACTCGATAGCTCACGAGTAAGCGCAGCGAACGAGTGAGATGTCGAGTCGAACACGAGAAGAGAAATTCCAGATCAACAAGCAACCATGTATTATTTTGTTTATCGTATAAACACAATAGCCCTTTACTGAGAAGAAAAGTCGACTTTATTAATGAATGAAAAAATGTAAACACACATTTACGATCCACTATCCGCGAAAAAAAGCGTAAAGTGATAAGGATCAAGATATAAAAACACGGTGAATCGTTATTCCAAAAATATAAAGAAACAAACAAAAAGTGGATGTAACTTTTCACTCAAGAAATGACAGTTATCTGTTTTAAGTACAAAACCACTAAAGTCCTTGACTACTTTCCTGGCTGTCCAACACTCGGAGTCGCAGAAACTTCTTCCGTTGTGGACTTTCATTGACCATCGTACTGGTGGAAGCTGAAGTTGAAACATGAACGTTAAATGTTCCTCCAGAAATATAATTTCCTTGAAAGAGAGACTTGAACATTTAACGTTTACTGGGCACGAATGTGCTAGAAAATTCTTGTTGTGTCACCGGCTGCGGCACCGTCTGCGATTGAAGCTGCTGCGAGACAGAAGTGCTTGAACATGCTGTAGACAGGAGGGTTGAAATTGCCATTTGCTGCTTTTCTCCCGATGAACTGTAGTTATTGATGGACTGAAGATTCTTATGGCCGGTTATCTGGACAATTTCTGTCGGAGGAACATCGCTGTCTCGCAGTTTTTGCACAAGCGTTTTCCTTGCACTATAGTAGGTGATTCGCTTATCTGTTGCAAGACCAGCTGCCTTCGAACAGTCTCTAATCAAGGTATTTAGTTTGCTAACTCCCATAGGTTGACACTTGAACCATTTCGCACTTGATAAGGTCAACTTTTCTCTGCCAAGATTTTTTATCGTTAGGTAGAATGGCGACCCATCGACGAGAGTTTTCTTTGACCGTTTAGTCATGTACAATTTGAATGCTGAAATGGGATTTCGCTCATCGGGCACTGAAAGGTTTTCGTACATTCGCGGCTTGATTTGTCTTCTATTTAGTGGATTATCACCAGGTCTTGTTTTTGTTTGTCTTTCAGTTGAGTACTCGAGATATTCTTTGCCATGACAGTCGGTTTTGAGGACAACATCTCCCCAACTTAGGTCGCTTTGCTCTTTTCCTCCTCTTACACAACTTAAACAGTTGTTGAACCACAGCGTGTTAATGAGTGCTTGAGGCGAATGAATCCCCTTGACTCCCTTCTTGAAAAGTAGATCAATCTCCTCTCGGTCGAGACTAGCGGCCTCTCGTGGTTTGTTTCCTTTGCCAAGCCTTTTCAGCTGTTTCTGTTTTGACTTCAATGCATCTCACGTTTTGGCGAACGGTTGACCCGTGATTATTGAGTCGCTGAAGCCCTGTTTTTTCAGATGGCGTTCAACCGAAGCAATAAATCCTCTAAGAGTTGTTGGTTCATACTCTTCACCAGACTTTTTCCGTACCGATAGCAAAACCTACTCAGCTAGGTATCCAATTTGGCCGATGGCAGATCTTAAAGTTTTCGATACTCTTTCTCCGTCGCGAGGAACGCCAAAACTAAAGTCAAGTCCCCTTCGGTTTTTCTTTTCGTTTTTTTGTTTTCTCCAACGTTAAGAAAATTTTCTACGTCTGTATCTGTATGCAAAACGAATCTTCCAGCCATAGTTCGAGCAAATTTCAGAAACAAAAAACTTTTGGATTGAAAAAAACAAGCAATTCATTAAACAAATGCTCTGCGACGCTTTGCCGTTCACTCATCAAACTGACCGAGTGGCGCCAGAGGCGAGTTACATGTCAGCAGCTGATTGGCTATATCAACACGTGTGAAAAAATACGATATTTTTTTACGAGTGTCGTTACGACTTTTCTCAGTGCCGGAAATCTCTGTATAACACCGCAGTTTATATGATAAAATGAATTGCCTTTGAATTTCACTCTCCAATACCTTCACATATTGAGCCCTTTCATACTTAAAATTCTTAAAGGAAGAATCTTGTAGGCTGTTTTTACCACTGAAATATCAATGTGTCCCCTTTCTCCGTTTGAGGCATTGTGCCACTTAAATGGATATCATGGGTAATAGACAACCTTCTTAACTATATATTCACACTCAACATTGTTTATTGGGGAAATGATGCAATATATGTATTTTTTAACATTTTTATGTTTAGACTCAGAAGCCGAGTGGGAAAGTTTATACCAAGACTGGCTCACACTTGCTAAGTTCCGTTCAGTAGTCATGAAAAAAAAAAGAAGACCTTCTTTCCTGTAAGCTAAATAGGAATACATCGAAACCTATTCCACATATGAAGAAAACAAGTTGATAATTAGGACATGGTAATTAAATGAATCCAGATCCTAAGAATTAGTGTCAGAAATGGAAGGAAAATTATTCAATACCATGCATGTTTCTTTTTTCGGATTCACCGGTATGACTCCGGTGTGATTTAAGTTTGATTGTTGTTGTCGTTTTTTTATTTTCCAATTCCTTTTTACTACACATAGAGGCAGAGTGGAACAATCTCAGGGCAAAGTAAAGCAAAACCAATTCAATCATGGGTTTCTTTCGGCGCTCAGTTGAAAATTTTTCAAATGCCACTGGAAATAATTTTTGTGTTATTTCCATACATTGTCACCAACGTAGTGATTTCGTTAATCTTTGGGGGTGTTTTAGTTTAACGACCGAGTATAACATCAAAGAGTCCTTTTATTTAAAATCAGCAAAAGAAAAATCCATATGCTGTTGTCATTTTTTCTTTTCAGGCTGAGATGAATTTCTGCAGAAACTTTGTTCATACCTGTTGTGGCTTTTGTCATTTAAAAGAAAGTCGCTTAGCGTAAATATTTATACGCACTTTCGTCATTCAGAAGTAGAGAGATATAAGTCGACATATTTGGTCTCTTGGTTGTAAATAATATTTTTTAAACAGCATGATGTGCGCCTTTGTGAACAGTTAAATGAATAATTTTTTCCACCTTTTTTACACTGTTTTACAGAACTCGTATTTTTGTAAAACTCAAAGATTCCTTCCACTCGAAACTTTTCTGTAATTTAGCACGAATGCGTAACTTTACAACAAGAGAATTTTAGCTCAATTTGCCCGACGGCGGAATAAAAATTAGCACTCATACAAATTAGCTTCATGAACGCCTGCGTTACCTTAGTTAGCGGATGATGTTAATATCTGCGCTGATGTTGGACTAACACAAAGACAGAGGGACTGGAACATAGTCAGTATGACGTCATTCTATGCTCAGAGCATATCACATCAAATTTTTGACTTGATGTTAGATCTTTGACTCAATGCTGCGAATTAGTTAGCATTAAAATCGCCGTACGTTGGCGTCAAAAAAGAAAATAAAATTAATATACTTATTAATAAACTTTGCTGATCTTAAGCTCATGATGATCTCTTTTACACAATTATTAGTAAGCAAATGAACGTGAAAATGCGCTGTAGACCAGAAGCGAAGCAAGATAGCTTGTGGAGACCACTTTCTCTTTCATCAGCGCTGGTATTAACATCATCCGCTAACTGAGGTAACGCAGGCGTTCATGAAACTAATTTGTATGAGTGCTAATTTTTATCCCGCCGTCGCGCAAATTAGGCAAAAATTCACCAGTTGTAAAGTTACGCATTCATGTTAAATTACAATTGGGAATCAGGGACAGACGTTTCTAGACGCGGAAGGTGATCAAAAGGAAAGTGCATTTGCTTTCAGTAAACTTTGTCGTAAATCAATCTGTCGGAAGTTCGTATCTTACATCAAACGCGACGGGCGAAAGACCTGTGGCAAGCGCCATGGCCCTAACTTAACCTTCAGCGATGCCCAAGATCTTGTTATTTTAATTTTTTGCGCGTGGCTATTCAAATAAATGGCGCGAGAGATCATGTTGTGTTCTTGGGAGGGGAGTACCTCTTTTATTAACCAAGGAGTATTCGTAGGGAGAGGTACTGACAAATCGCAACATGCTCAATTTTCTGCTCATTTTCGTCTGATAATTTTTAATAATACTCTCGTGATTGCCTCGAAAATCGCGTTCAGTGAAAGACCCTCCTGGTCAACATGCTCACCTGCCGTCAAACCGAGATGGCTAAAAAGCTACGCACCATAGGACGGCACATACCCGTAAGGAATGTATGTGGAAATACCTCCTCTCCAGCCCAAGGATACGGGCGGCACATGCCGGCATCAATGAAATAGTTCCAGTTGTGAGGCAGGCGCTATGTTTCGTTTTCTAAAGGCTACGTACAATGTCGAGCACTTCAAACATTTAAAAAACAAATATATATAGCAACACGTCATATTAAAAACAAAAACTGTCTATTTACTTTTTTAAAAGTTGATAACGATACGAAGAGCAGTCCTAAACGTGGTCTGCCACAGGTATCCCACGTAACAAACACAGGCCGGTACGAACGCTTGCGTCATATTATATATATATATATATATATATATATATATATATATATATATATATATATATATATATATATATATATATATATATAGGGAGTCTGCAAGTCGATTTTCGCGTGGAACAGTGCCCAATACGTTGAAACAGAGATAGGAAAATATATATACTGACCAGGTAAAGAACCAATCAGATTGCAGGATTCGTTACCATGCCCTCTGAAAAAAAACTATTGATTTTATGACAAAGATATCTCGATGAAACACAAGAACTTCCATATTCCGAGGGGATATCCCTGCCGCGTATCGTGTCGATTAAATGTCACAGCCATTCGTTTCGCCCTCTAACGTCCTTTCATGGGTCTGACAAATTGAGGATGGAACACTTTCCTCCGGGTGAATAATAACATTCAATTTCAACTTTAGTTTTAAATTTGAATGCGTAGGCCTTTTCAGTTCTGAATTAAGAACACGTTGTAATTAGAAACTGAAGATATTCTCGAAACTGTCGGAGAGAAAAATACACGTACGTAAAATTGACCATTTGCATCACGATTTGACCTCAGGTGGTGACAAATTAATTTTAGAAAAAGCTGATTTGGGCAAAAGCATTTCATTTGTTACGGATCGTCTGTCTGGTAAAATCTTCAATGAGGAATTCAGGATGTCGATGTGGACAACTTTAGGCCTGATTACTCTGCTAAACAGTTTTTTATCGTCAGGTGAGGATTTGGCAGGGTTAATGAACACTATGAATCGAATAACGTTCTAATCGAATGTTATTTATAACATACGAAATGATCCCTTACTCGTGCAAATGATTCTTCAAGAACTAAATTTCATCACCCTGCCTTGAGATTCAGAGAACAGGTGGAATGTATTAAATCAAGAAGTGTTTCGATTGCAGTTCTAAAACAAACCTGGTGGAAGATTTTTCATTGCTCCGTGACAAATTGTGTAACATCAAAAGCTCTCTCAGATACCTCTGTAGCTCTCTCATTCTTTTCTGTGCAAAAGAGTTCAAGTCATACCCGAAAAGGGAATTTCCTATTCTGTGCTAGACTATAACGTAAAGAGAAATCTAGATCTGAAGGCTAGGCGCAAAATGTTGAAAATGGTGGATAGTTCTGCACTTTATCACAATCATGGTTATTGTTCCTTCACGACGAGAGTGAGTGGACAAATTTTGAATCAAATATTGCTTGAGGTGTTAATGAATTGCACCAAACATTTTGATTTTAGCACTTCTTTAACGGCAATCTGTGTTGCGAGATTCATGATTTGTCGAGTGTGCCGATTATATTTTTCTGGATTGGTTTTCTCAGTGCTATCTCTAGATGAATGTCTGATTAAAATTAACTATGGATGATTTGGTGTATGTTTTCGATGCTTGGAGAAAGTAATCTTGTGGAGTCGTTTGTGTTTGGCCAAGGACGAATTCAGATACCATCGTTAGTATGTTTATTTGGTCTGCTAACATCGAAAATATATCATGTCGAAGGAACAGTTTTGGTCTCGATCCGTATTCTGTCAACAAAATAAACACATACCGCTCAAAAAGATGATAATACGGACTACGTTAGTCCTATTGAAGGCTCCATGGGGCTCTACTGTTGAAATATTCCGTAATAAATTACAGACGTGCCAAATTCAGAATTCAAGATTTCCGTAAGGATCTTCGTTTTCGTAGTGTGTCTCATGAACATAATCTTTATCCACAAAGGTAATATTATGTGTCTTCGTTTTCGTGATGGGTCTTCGTTTTCGTAGGGGTGTCTTCGTTTTTGTGATGGGTTTCGTTTTTGTAGGGTGTCTTCGTTTTCGTAATGGGTCTTCGTTTTCGTAGGGGGGTCTTAGGTCATCGTTTTCGGGGTCTTCGTTTTCGTAACTACCAAATAATCGTGAAAGCTGATCGCGAAAAAGCGATTGCGTGACGCTCGGTAAGTTGCAAGATGATTTTATCACATACCAGACGAAAAAACTCTTTAGATTCTCAGTCTGAACTTTGTACCCACTCTGCAGTCTGCAGTCTACACTTTGTACCTTGTCCACATTTTGTATCCGGTCTGCAGTCTGCAGTCTACATCTTGTAATAACAGGTATCCGTGGCACCGATACAGTTTATTTACAGTTATTCGCATAACACACACAATCTACCACAAAATACCTGTGTCTGAGTTAATTCGACATTTTCCTTCTTTTCTGCGTTAATATTCTTCTTTCCTTTTTTAAGAATGTAGACATCACTTACAATGTTTCAGGTAATACACCCACCCCCCAAAAAAATAACTCTTCCAAGCATAGCATGCCTATGTTTAATCACAGTTTACCAATATGTAATTTTACAAAATCGCCGTGTTCTTGACAACGTTTCGTAGCAGGCTTCCCATGAGTTACTGTTGTTCTTAGCACATTGCAGTCGCTACTACACCAAGGATGTTCAAGAATTGACACCAGAGTTTGCGTGAAAAGACACTTCACTTTCAGTGATTACTTTTTTTACTCCTTAAATGATTACGTGGTTTAGAAGGTAAACACGTGATCATCAACATTTATGACTTGAAATTGAGGACGTGCTTCCTTGCATGGAGAGGTGATGAAATGGTCATTTTGACTCATTCATGCTGAAAGCAATGAATGAGGTATCGTGGTGGAGCAGATGTTGACGGAAGTAGTCGACCGTGGACGGAAGTTGTATTCCGAGCGTCACGCAATCGCTTTTCTGCGATTATCTTTCACGATTATTTGCACTGTTCTGGAATATTCCTTGCCCGTTTCTGGATCACAATCGTTCTTAAAATAATCTCAAGACTTCATATAGTCTTCTTTCTTTGCGCGCGAGTTGGTTCGTGTGATGTCGGTACGGAATTTACCAACTTAATAAAAGTAGATGAAGATGTAAATGAGATGTCACAATTGAATATTTAACACGCGCAATATTCGTGAAACAATTGACAACTTTGCACATGGTCCGTACGTTTCGTTTCATTTTGTTGACAAAAATGCGGACCGAGACCAAAACTGTTCCTTCAACTTGATTTATTTTCAACGTTCAGGGGTGTACACGCACTTCCATATGTGCCTTATATTGTTATAGGCATAGTTCATGAGGAACCAGTGAATTTTTAGCGAAGAGTTGCTTTCGTGACTGGCCATTTGTTTACTTTTCTGGTGGTTTTATCTCTCACCTGTTTGGTGACTACGCAAATATCAATATGTGGAAATCAGACCATATGAAGGCTTGAGATTCTATTAAGGAAGATTGTGGCCGCTTTGTTAAAAACAAAAGATGTCAAGAAACGGGAAAGGAATATTTCACAATAGCGCAAATGATCGTGAAAGATGAGGGTTACTAATAATTTGCTGCTAGAGCAATATTTGATGCCTGATTATACCCTCCCAGCCCACCCTCCGCCCCACAAACAAACACATACCAACAAAAAGGACACTCTCTGCCTAGTGACCTCTGCCCATCCTAACTCCAGCCCACACAACCCTTTTTCCAATTCTCATCACGAGGCACGCACAAGTTTCCTTATCACACAACTGCCCAAAAATAAGAGAGAATTTATTCCATATGTCTTGAAAGTTTACATAAACCGAATTAAACTGTACCTATATTCAACAAGTCCGAGAAATCGATACAAACCTAAGCCATAACATGAATAAGCTGGCTCTAAGAGCCCTTTGACTCGCTATATACTATCGTTGCTGCATGTAATGAAGCCATTTTTATTTGAGCATCGAAAGCAATCCAAAATTGCTTTGGTTTGTGTATTGTTGTAGAATGCCTGAACCTTACGGTCTCAACCAATCATATCGTAGAAAGATAAAAACCAACCGCGTCATCGTCAATCCCATTTTTCCCGTGCAACGGGAAGTCTACTCTGAGTTCTTATTGTGATATTTTCCTTTATTTTGATTGATGGTTGTGTCTAAACGAATTGTTCGGTTTGTTGCAGCATCTGTTGCGGCTCCTGCTATAGATGTCTATATTAGCAGTGAAGGTTG